ACCCTTTGACCAACATCTCCCCTTTTCCCTCACCCTCCAGCCTCTGGTAACCACCATTCTACTCTTTGCTTCTGTGAGTTTGATTGCTTTAGATTTCCTGTATAAGCAAAAACATGCAGCATTTGTCTTTCTGTGCCAGGCTTATTTCACATAAGCATAATGTCCTCCAGGTTCACCCATGTTATTGCAAATGACAAGATTTCCTTCTTAAGGCTGAATAGTGTTCCATCAGGTATATACGCCACATTTTCTTTATCCGTTCATTGATTGATTGACATTTGGGTTGATTCCATACCTTGGCTATTGTGAATAGTGCTGCAATGAATATGAGAGTGCAGATCTCTCTTCAACATGTTGATTTCAAAGTTTTTGGATATATATCCAGAAGTGGGCTTGCTGAAGCATACACTAGTTCTATATTTAGTTTTTGAAGATCCTCCATACAGTTTTCTGTAATGACTGTACTAGTTTATATTCCCACCAACAGGGTATAAAGGGTGAATTTTCTCCACATCCTCAGCAACATTTGTTGTCTTTCATCTGTTTGATAATAGCCATGCTGGCATGTATGAGGTGAGTTCTCATTGTGGTTTAAATTTGCATATTTTATTTTTTTCTATTTGTTCCTTCTGATTCTCATTCCTCTGTTTCTCTCTCCTTGCCTTCCTTAGGGTACATGAGCATTTTTTTTTTTTTTTGAATTCCACTTTGACTTATTTATATAATTTTTGTGATGATCACTGCTATTGTTTGAATGCTTTTGTCCTTTCCAAAAATTCATGTTGAAACTTAATCCCCAGTGGGATTAAGGGGTGGGAGGTAGGGCTTTCTGGGAGGTGTTTAAGTCACGAGGGTTCTGCCCATACGAATGGATTAATACTGTTATAAGTTTGAGGTTGCTGTGAGCTAGGCTGATGCCATGGCACTCCAGCCCAGGCAACAGAGCAAGACTCTGTCTCAAAAAAAAAAGACTGTTATAAAAGGGCTTTATGAAGGGAATTCCTCCCTTTGTGCCCTTCTGTCTTTTGTCATGTGAGGACACAGCATTCCTCCTCTCCAGAGGATGCATTCAAGGCACCATCTTGGATGCTTAGGTTGGAAGCAGAAACAGGATGCTCACCAGATCTCACCAGACACCAAACCTGCCAGTGATAGTGAACTTCCCCAAATTTTTCAATGCAATACATCAATGTAGTAAAATTGTACTTGTACCCCACGAATATATACAAATTAATAAATACATTAAAGGCCGGGCGCGGTGGCTCACGCCTGTAATCCTAGCACTCTGGGAGGCCGAGGCGGGCGGATTGCTCAAGGTCAGGAGTTCAAAACCAGCCTGAGCGAGACCCCGTCTCTACCATAAAAATAGAAAGAAATTAATTGGCCAACTAATATATATAATATAAAAATCAGCCGGGCATGGTGGCTCGTGCCTGTAGTCCCAGCTACTTGGGAGGCTGAGGCAGGAGGATCGCTTGAGCCTAGGAGTTTGAGGTTGCTGTGAGCTAGGCTGACGCCACGGCACTCACTCTAGCTTAGGCAAGAAAGTGAGACTCTGTCTCAAAAAAAAAAAATAAATAAATAAATAAATACATTAAAAATAAATAAAATAAAATAAATTTTTGTGTTTTATAAATTACCCAGCCTCAGTTATTCTGCTATAATAGCACAAAACAGACTAAACAATCACCTTGTGTAGTCTTCTTAGTGACTGCTGTAGGTATTATAATGTGCATGTATAACTTATCAAGGTCTATTAATATCAATGTTTTACCACTTAGATTGAAATAGAAAAACTTTACTTCCCTTTATTTTTTATTTATTTATTTATTTTTTTGAGACAGAGTCTCGCTTTGTGTAGGGCAGAGGAATTTGTAGGACAGAGGAAGGGCAGAGGAATTCTTCCAATTGTCGGGAATTTACTTGGGTGGGGCAGTGAGCTAACCGCAAACCTTTGCTTCTGGTCATTGCTTGCTTGCTACACCGCTGTAGGGGGAATTATGGCATGAGGTCATTGAAGCACGGGCGACTGGCCCATCAGGCAATAGAGGGCAACCAACCCGCCAATTATTTCAAAAGGCAATAGTGGGCAACCAATCATTTTAAAGGTCAACGCATGATCCATGCGTAGTTGGCTTGTGCGCAGCTTGTGCACCATGGGGATAAAAGGCCGTTGTTCCGGTCGGGGTTCTTGCCTGTGAGAGTGGCCACTGCGTTGGTGCTCTGGGGCTTGGACCCTGGCTAGCCAGAAAAGAAACCTCCTCTTGTGTGATTGCATCCTCGATGTCTCTGCTTTTCTGTCCGGTGGGGCTGTGGAAGGTCCGTCCCTAACATTTGTTGCCCAGGCTAGAGTGAGTGCCGTGGCGTCAGCCTAGCTCACAGCAACCTCAAACTCCTGGGCTCAGGCAATCCTGCTGCCTCAGCCTCCCGAGTAGCTGGGACTACAGGCATGCCCCACCATGCCTGGCTAATTTTTTCTATATATATTAGTTGGCCAATTAATTTCTTTCTATTTATAGTAGAGACAGAGTCTCGCTCTTGCTCAGGTTGGTTTCAAACTCCTGACCTTGAGCAATCTACCCGCCTCTGCCTCCCAGACAGCTAGTATTATAGGCGTTAGACACCGTGCCCGGCCCTTTACTTCCTTTTAGACCTCTTTACCCTTCTTACTTTTAAAACACAATTGTCCTAAATATTTCCTCTACATACATTGAGCACCATATTAGATGGTGCCACAATTTTTGCTTCAACCATCAAACATGGTTTAAAAAGCTCATGAGAAGAGTATTTACTCTTATTTTAACCCATTCTGTTGTTTGTTTTTCCTTTCTTAAATTCCAAGCCTTTGTCTGTTATTTTATCTCTGTTTAGAGAATTTCCTTTAGCCTTTCTGTAAGGGATGATTTTAGCAACAAATTTTGCTAGAGACTGAATTGTGTGTCCCCCCACAATTCATATGCCGAAGCCCTAATTCATATGCTGAAGCCCTAATCCCCAATCCCCAATGTATTTGAATGTGGGAACTCTGGGAGGTAATTAGGCTTAAATGAGGTCATCACTGGTCCTTCTGATGGGAGTAGTGCCCTTATAAGAAGAGACACTAGAGAGCTTGCTTCCTTTACCCCTCTCTCTCTTTTCACTGTGTGAGGACACAGCAGGAAGACAGCCATCTGAAAGTCAGAGACAGAGCCCCAGCCAGGGACCCAAATTGGCCAGTACCTTGATCGTGGACTTCCCAGCCTCTAGAACTATGAGAAATAAATTCCTGTTGTTTAAGCCACCCAGCCTATGGTATTTCATTATGGCAGCCTGAGCTGAGTAATACAAAATTGTTTTAGTTTTCCTTCACTTAATAATGTCTTTATTTCCCTTTCATTCCTGCAGGATACTTTTGTCCAATATAGAATTCTCAGTTGACAGCTCCTTTTAATCTCCATGGTTTAAGATGAGAACTGCACTGTCATTATAATTGGTGTCCCCTATGCTTAATGTGTCATTTGTCTCTAGCTGCTTTCAAGGGCTTTCCTTTGTTGTTGTTGGTTTTTTTTACAGAGGCTCGCTTTGTTGCCCAGGCTAGAGTGAGTGCTGTGGCATCAGCCTAGCTCACAGCAACCTCAAACTCCTGGTCTCAAGCGATCCTCCTGCCTCAGCCTCCCGAGTAGCTGGGACTACAGGCATGCACCACCATGCCCGGCTGATTTTTTCTATATATATTAGTTGGCCAATTAATTTCTTTCTATTTATAGTAGAGATGGGGGGTCTCGCTCTTGCTCAGTCTGGTTTCGAACTCCTGACCTTGAGCAATCTACCCGCCTCAGCCTCCCAGAGTGCTAGGATTAGAGGCATGAGCCACCACGCCAGGCCCAAGGGCTTTTCTTTGTATTTAGTTTTCAAAGGTTTAATTGTGACATATTTGCATGGATTTCTTTTGGTTTATGCTACTCAGCTTCTTCAATCTGTAGGCTTATGTCTTTTGCCAAATTTAGGAAGCTTTTATCCATTATTTCTTTAAATATTTTTTTTATCACTGCTCTCTTTCTCATCTATTTCTCGAGGTTCAGTGATATGAATCTTAGATATTTGTTATTTCCCTACAGGTTCCTGAGACTCTGTTCATCTTTTCTTTCTTTCTTCTTTCTTTTTTTAGGAGCAGCGGCCCATGCATGGAATTTATTGTGTGCTACTGTTTATAAAATACTTGAAAAGTCCTGCACATGCATAATATTTCCAACTTAGACAGGAGACCAGATAGGGTGCACTTTCTGGCAAACAAAACAACAGATGGTTCCGCTGCCTGGAGCTCTGTGTTGTATTCCCCGGCATGAGGGAAGCAGGCCACCAAAGTAAAGGGAAATACCAAACTGCAGTGGCAATCAATACAAGTTGATAATTGTGAAAAATTAGCACATGGTTCCATTTAGTTTAACCAAGCAGATCAGTAACTATCAAAAGAAAAATTTTAACATGCAGTCTTGACTTTTATGTTTCCACTAACATCTGAATGATTGAACAGAACCATGGTTTCTAGGCTGCATTACTTAATCAAAAACACTTCCAGAACATTTTAAAATTTCCTTTGCATTAAAACATAAAAATGATAGAACGCCAGCAGCAAATCATACTGGTGGCTATTTATGCAACTTGAGTACTCACAATAAACTAAAATTTCTCATAACATCTAGGTAACCTATACATGTCGTATCTATACATCATAGGTCTATATATTAAATATTTGCAAAATGAAAACATGCATACACAAAATACGTCAAGTTTTACAGACATGATTTGAATTAAAATTTACTTTGACAATGTACAAACTTCTTTTAAAGTATCTTAAATGAGTAATTCTGTACTTCATAAATTTGCAATTTAGAGGTTTTCTTTTTAAATCTCTGGGATGTAAATCTCAAAAGATCAGGGCAAAACGGATTCTAAATTAGTTTTTGAATTTGTGTTCAAGTAAAAGTGTCTGCCTAGTTATAGGTTATGTGTTCATAATTGAAAAATACCAAGACTATATTACAGAATTAGCCACATTTAAGAACTATTGACCTGAGGTCAGCATTTTGTAATGCTGGGTTTCTCAGCATTTTGCCCACAATTCAAAATATAGCTAGTAACGCCAGAAAGGTATTTTTTAAGACCATGCTAATTCATCCTTTAAAGATATCTCATGGAAAAAGAAAAGTCTACATTAGCTCTTAGAATTGCATTTGAAGTCATGGTTGAAAAACAAATTCTAATTCTACTGGGGGGGGGGAAGAAATCTCATTTGTAAACTTAAATGTGTGAACCACAAGTATAAATGGAGGTGTAGTAGATGCCCTCCACTGGAAATTGCCCCAAGCTCCTTGCTCACTGCTTTCCACATTGGCAGCAATGACCCAATCTTATCAGATAGCACAACATGTCCCAGGGCCCTCAAGCCTCCATCCAGGAAGGGGCTGGGTTTTCAAAAGCACAATGGTTTCTGCAGAGGGACTCTGTGACATTTACAGTCAGTTTGGCCAACCCCTCCAGCTCCTCGGGTGATCTGTCCATTTGGGGGCCCGAGATGTGAGAGTCCCTGGGAAGCTGTAGGTCACTGGGCACTATGGTTGCCAGTCCCGTGGTTCTCAGTGGCATGTGCAGTGTTCAGAGAATTGAAACCATCTTGCTGTACAGCATCTTTCTGGGGTGGCATTCTCTCATTGATCCTATCCAAACCCTTTGCCTCTTCAAAACTGCAGATTCTATGTGGTGGAGAGAATCCTCGTATTGCACTTTGCAGGGTCTGCCGTCTGCCAGCCAACACTCCACCAGGCAACATCCCTGTGGGAGTCAGCCCCTTGAGTGTCAGCACACTTTCACTCTCCTCCCTGAAAACAGAGAAGACTCTTGCCATCTTGCCAATTGCTCGAATTTTGTTTCTTATGATTTCTTTCCGGGCTGCTGCTGAACCTACATCAAACTGGTCTTCACCTTCGGTCATTAGCTCATCATCAGAGTAAATACTCAGAACATTTACCAACATTTCTGTCACTTTTTCTCCAACAAATGGTAAAGACCATGTGAAGACATCCATAAAATTGGGCAACCAGTACGGATGTGGAGAACAGTTAAACTGTACAATATTCATCACATTATTTTCATATTTTAATACAGCAGCTTTATGATTATAGACATCTAAGTAATTAGGTGCCGAAAAAATTGTTATTAATGAAGGGGACCCTGTAGTTTGACTTTTTCTGTACATTCTATAGCCTGCATCTTGAGCTTCATGAGCTCTAATAATTGATAACAAATTATTGTTTTGCAAAAATTCACACACTGCTGGATAGTTATAAAAATAAGAACATCCTTGAACTGTATTGTGACTAAAATGTTCCTGTGATTTTTCATTTCCAAAATCTTCAGAAGGATTGGACCATAGCAAGTCACACATTTGTCCAAATGCAGGTGGCTCTTTGAATCTATCTAATCTCCTAATATGTTCCAGTGTGTGTATTTCTGGTGAAAGTCCACCATGAACACAAAGAAACTGTTGGTTTAAAAGTGCAGCAAGAGGCAGGCTATCAAAAGCTTCCATACAAGCTTCATAGTCTCTTTCTGAATATTTAATTTTACATTCCTGCTTAAAGGTAAAATATTCAGTAAGGTGTCTGCATTCATGGTTGCCTCTCAGAAGAAATAATGTGCTTGGGTATAGAATCTTCAGAACCCATAAATATAAGACACACTCTATACTAAAATAACCTCTGTCCACATAATCACCAAGAAAAATGTATTGTGTATTAGCAGGTGATCCTCCTACTTCAAAAAGTTTCATCAGATCAAACAATTGGCCATGGATGTCACCACACACTGTAATTGGAGCTTCTACTTCTATCATGGTTTTCTCTCTCCGAAGAATGGCAGCACCCTCATTGATAATTCTAAGTGCAATTTCTTCATCTACTCGACCTTCTTTTACCAAGTGATTCTTCAAAACATCAACCCTGGGTATCCCATCCATATCAAATACTTCAGATGTCAAGCGATGTGTTGGAGGAAAAGGAACAGCTTTGACGACATGGTCAGCCCCAGGAGGGGGCGGCGGGGGTGGGGGTGGGGGCGGCCATGCTGGGCCCCGGGCTTGGCTAGGCTCTGGGCCAGGTGGGCTTTTTTTTTTTACAGAGTCTCACTCTGTTGCCCAGGCTAGAGTGCCATGGCGTCAGCCTAGCTCACAGCAACCTCAAACTCCTGGGTTGAAGCAATCCTTCTGCCTCAGCCTTCCGAGTAGCTGGGACTACAGGCATCTGCCACCATGCCCAGCTAATTTTTTTTATATATTTTTAGTTGGCCAATTAATTTCTTTCTATTTTGGCCGGGCGCGGTGGCTCACGCCTATAATCCTAGCATTCTGGGAGGCCGAGAGCGGGCGGGATGGGTCAGGTCAGGAGTTTGAACCAGCCTGGAGCAGAGCGAGACCCGTCTCTACTATAAATAGAAAGAAATTAAGTGGCCAACTATTATATAGAAAGAAAAATTAGCGGGCATAGGTGGACATGCCTGTAGTCCCAGCGTACTTGGGAGCTGGATGGCAGCAGGATTGCTTGAGCCCAGAGATTGAGGTTGCTGTGAGCTTAGGCGCAGCCACGGCACTCTACTCTAGCCTGGCGCAACACAAGTGAGACTCTGGTCTCAAAAAAAAAAAATAAATAAATAAATAAAATAAAATAATTATATTTTTTATTTTTAGAGATGGGATTTTTGAAAAGTGACCTTACTAACAACTTATCTAACAGAGGAAAATATCAATCAGAAAGTAAGAGAAATAAACTCACAACATATAATTGTCCCTTTAAAGAAAAAACTCACAACTACCCCCTTTGTTTTGTTTAATTAAAACACCTGGGCCGTGCCAGGCGGGGTGGCTCATGTCTGTAATCCTAGCTCTCTGGGAGCCCGAGGAGGGTGGATCGATCAAGGTCAGGAGTTCGAAACCAGCCTAAGCAAGACCCTGTCTCTACTATAAATAGAAAGAAATTAATTGGCCAACTAATATATATAGAAAAAATCAGCCGGGCATGGTGGCGCATGCCTGTAGTCCCAGCTACTGGGGAGGCTGAGGCAGGAGGATCCGTGGAGCCCAGGAGTTTGAGGTTGCTCTGAGCTAGGCTGATGCCACAGCACTCACTCTAGCCTGGGCAACAAAGCGAGACTCTGTCTCAAAAAATAATAAAAATTAAAATTAAAATAAAAACAAAACACCTGGGCCGGGCATGGTGGCTCATGCCTGTAATCCTAGCACTTGGGGAGGCTGAGGTGGGAGGATAGTTTGAGCTCAGAAGTTCAAGACAGGCCAGAGCAAGAGCAAGACCCCGTCTCTACTAAATATAGAAACAAATTGGCTGGACAACTAAAAATATATAGAAAAAATTAGCTAGGCATGGTAGGCCGTGCCTGTAGTCCCAGCTACTCTGGAAGCTGAGGCAGGAGGATTGTTTGAGCCCAGGAGTTTGAGGTTGCTGTGAGCTAGGCTGACGCCACGACACTCTAGCCGGAACAACAGAGCAAGTGCCCTAGAGCCACCCTTAGGGGTACAAGGCCCTTCCCTGGGATTCATGATGTAAAATTTTGACAGGGTGTTTTGTGTGTGCTGTTACATGGCTGCAAGTCGCCCAGGGTACCCATCAGACTTTAACTTAGTTGATTTGTCTGTGAATTAGGTCCAGTTATCCTCAGGAATCTCTATGTACCAAGGTAAGAACCACGTGCAAAACCCCAGGGGTGTGGCATAGTGGCAATTTCTTTTTTTCTTTTTTTTTTTTTGAGACAGAGTCTCACTTTGTTGCCCAGGCTAGAGTGAGTGCCGTGGCGTCAGCCTAGCTCACAGCAACCTCCATCTCCTGGCTCAAGTGATCCTCCTGCCTCAGCCTCCCAAGTAGCTGGGACTACAGGCATGCGCCACCATGCCCGGCTAATTTTTTCTATATATATTAGTTGGCCAATTAATTTCTTTCTATTTTTAGTAGAGACGGGGTCTTGCTCAGGCTGGTTTCGAACTCCTGACCTCGAGCAATCTGCCCGCCTCGGCCTCCCAGAGTGCTAGGATTACAGGCGTGAGCCACCACGCCTGGCGGCAATTTCTTTTTGTCACAGGCTCCAGTCTGCATAATTGTTGGTTACCTGCATCTGTAGTTTAAAAGGCCCATTAGACCTGACTGCCCTAAGTTGGATGACAATCTGTACAGCCCATTGGAATTTTTTGAGAGAGCATTTCCATCTTTATTAGGTTTTTGTTTAATACAATGATCTTGTCCCCACATCCCCTATCTTGTATTATTTTACCACAAACACATGGCTGGCTGGGGAAGCCAGGTGGGCTCCTGGTTGTATCTTATCCCATTGCTACTGTTTTCATTGTGGCATCTCTCCATTGGGAATATCCCATATAATCAGGAGAAGTATTACACATAGCTAAATAATCTATTAATATTACTGCAGTACTTTTAACAGCATGAATTCAAATCACTTGGGTGTGCATCTATCAAGTAAAACATGACACGGTTTGAACAAGTATCAACTGTGGTAAGGCACCCCTGAGAACATGAAAGAGTGTCACAGGTCCAATGTAGTTGATCTTTTAGGAGCAGGTGAGGCCAGTGCCCCATGTAATGGGAACTCTTTGACCACAAGACAAATGGACTAATGGTCTGACATGCAGTGGTGGTTTCTGAATCATAAACAACATAGTTTCCTCTACTTTGTGAGAAACAGCAGAGTTTTTTTTTTCTTGGCTTCCAGAGGGCTGTTGTGAATCCACCCACACAGATACAGTATAAAAAACTTCACTCTCGATTTTGCTTGGGTTGACCAGCTACCCCTGCTGGTGGAGGTGAGATAACACCACAGTCAGGGCTGTTGAGATTAAGGCTTTTGATTTGCCAACCAACAGGACATCATGTATATAGTGAAAGCTTTGAGCACCAGAAGACAGAGGTACCTGCACTGAATCTTGATTCACCTACTGGTGACCAATGGTAGCGGAGTTTTTCCCACGAGCGCTTTTTACATGTGGCAGTGCCCTGAAAAGAGAAAGAACATGCACTAGCAGATCCTGGGGCATCTCCTTATGTCCCCTAATTTGGCCTGCACAGCCAAGCCCCTCTGCCTTATCTCCAAAGAGGCACCGTGACCTTATGTTGGGTGCCAATTCGTCAAGTGGTCAAGCAGTGCCTGAGCAGCAGCACAGTTAAGTTGGCTTGTCACATTTCCATATATTTAGCTGATAAGGAGACAACGAACCCATAAAGATGTATTATGGACACAGATGGTAGAAGCAAGGTCAGTATTGCGTCACTCCTCATGCGCCTCATCCCAGAAGATGACATTGACCAGAGGGACCAGATGACAGAAAACGTGATGTAGTTCACCTGTCATGGAGGACCGCCCTCTAAACCAGCTGGTCCCCAACCTTTTTGGCACCAAAGACTGGTTTCATGGAAGACAATTTTTCCATGGATGGAGGTGGGGCTGGGGGATGGCAGAACTCTGTGGCCCCGTCCCTAACAGGCCATAGACCAGTACTGGTCCACGGACTGGGAGTTGGGAACCACAGCTCTAAACTACGGCAGGGCCATTTTTTCTTTTCCATTTATTTTTTATATGTATATATTCATGGGGTACAAGTGCAATTTTGCTACATTGATATATTGCATTGTGGTGAAGTCAGGGCCTTCAGTGCACCCACTGACACACGTTGTACCCACTGAGCCATTTAATAAACTTACACCGAAGTCTTTAGCTGTACCCTAAGAGAAAGGTTGAGGCAGAAAGTCCCCTGCGTCACCAGAAACAGGGAGGCAGATGAGAACTGGCCCTGTGACAGCTCTTCATGAGACTAGTGTGCTCCAGGTGAGGATGACAGGGTGTGCCAGCAGGACTCAGTGACTGCGGTCAAGCCTTTTTTTTTTTTTTCTGAGACAGAGTCTCACTCTGTTCCCCGGGCTAGAGTGCCGTGGCGTCAGCCTAGCTCACAGCAACCTCAAACTCCTGGGCTCAAGCAATCCCCCTGCCACAGCCTCCCAGGTAGCTGGGACTACAAGCATGAGCCACCATGCCCAGCTAATTTTTTTCTATATATTTTTAGTTGGTCAATTAATTTCTTTCTATTTTTAGTAGAGACGGGGTCTTGCTCTTGCTCAGGCTGGTCTTGAACTCCTGACCTTGAGTGATCCTCCCACCTCGGCCTCCCAGAGTGCTAGAATTATAGGCGTGAGCCACCTAGCCAGGCCTGTGGTCAAGCTTTGACTGCATGGCCTATGGTGAGAAATGCTAGGTTGCTGCGGCACCTTGCTGGAGCCCTTCACCTACAATTTCTACAAGACATGGGCCTTGTAGCATAGAATCTTATCAGCATTTTACAGGAAATGCCGGCCTAGGCATGAATGACAAGTAAATAGAGAATTTTAACTGGTCCCATTAGCTGTCAGATTATCTTATTAAGCCTTCATTAATGTGATTCAAATAGAAAATATTTTGTTAAAAATATTAGAACACGAAAATATATGTTTTCTTATTATTCATGTGCCATACCATTATTACAATTTTGGAATTATTCTAATGAAACTCTAGAAGCAAATAGGTAAAATAAGAATTATATCCTGTCTTAAAGAAAATCTGAACTATGGAAAAAAATATAGAAATTAAAAATAAATATATTTTATATAAAATAAAAAAAAGAATTATAAGTGAAATAAGGCTCCAGATTTAGCTCTGGTAATATAATGAGGTTAAGTGGATGAGACAAAGTCTCGTGCGTTGGGATAGAATAATCTTACACATTTTAATATACAGGTCCTTTTTACACTGACATTTAACCTTTGGACAGTTGCTGCGTGTTCATAGTCACTCTTTGTAAGCCCTCAAGGGCTGTAAATAAAATAGCTTTTTGTTGCCAGAGATATTTTTATTTACTTATTTATTTATTTTTTACACAGAGTCTCCCTTTGTTGACCAGGCTAGAGTGGGTGCCCGTGGCGTCAG